CCCCCCCCCCCCCCCCGGCCCGCCCCTGGCGGAGCGGCTGCAGCAGCCGCCCCGTGCCCGGCGGAAGGCGGGGAAGCAGCGCCGCTCGGCGCTGCTGCGCCCACGGGAGGCAGAAGCCTCCCCAGGTCACGAGCGGGACCTGGTGGGGAGAGGGGCCCCGATCCCTGGGAACCGGCTGTCCCAAGCCGGAGCGGGCCTGGAGCCCCTGCCAGGCCCAGGGACTGCCGGGGGTGAGCTCCAGCGGCACGAGAAGTCCCCAGCCCCAGCGCTCCTGCCTCGCCACCTTTAAAACTCCCTCCGTGTTTTGGCTGCTCGCTGCTCGCGCAGCTCTGGCTCTGCGCGAGGTTAAGACGCCAGTTAAATAACGGTGTGCTGGTGGGGCTACGAGCGGCCGCGATCGCCCGGTGCCTTTTCTGCACCGATCACGCTTGGACAGTCAGTTTACAAAGTGTTTTAATCGGATCGCGCAAAACACGAAAAAAAGGCAGCGCAGTTCATGCGGTCGCAAGCCACGGCCCCCTCACACACTTACGTATGCAGGTATTATTTACACAAGATAACCTCGTTTCAGAGTGATCACGGCAGGTTAGCGAATTCCCCTTACGGGGCTTTAATTTCCAGCTTCTGAGCTGTGGATATAAAAACCCCACAAACCCCTCAGGTGAGTCAGCTCCTCCGGCCAGTTTTACGTTCGTGCTGGCAACTTTTAACTGTGTCATGAAGACAGGACGGCTCAGAGTCACGATCAGCAGAAATAATTAAGTGTACAGGATCAATGCTGGACTGACAAATTCACCAGGACGTTCTAATGGCAGAAATACCCCCCGACGCGGCCCCGTGTTGTGCTCGTCGCCAGTCAGCCAATGTCCCCGTGTGCAGCGAGCGCTCATTCAGAAACCGGAGTGTGAACTGGGAGCTCTGGCTGGCTGCAAGGCAGAGCACCTTTTCTCTGTTTTAAGGCCATGTTAATTATGTAAATGAAATTTAAATCCTCTTGACTCGCTGAAAAATAGTCACCCATTCCAGATATGCAGCCAACGACCAGAACAGCACGCTTAAAACACCCCCCCATCCCCCAAATAAAATCCTCTACGGATTTAACACAAGCGTGGGTGACCCGACTGCGGGGGGGCGGTGGGCCCTGCTGTCTGAACCGTGCGTCCCTCCCCCGGCAGAACGCTCTGCCGTGCTGAGCGGCTTGCAAAATCAAGGTCCGGAATTTAAAGAGAATAGTTAAAAATGGATTGGCTTTGGGAGGAGGCAGAGTGCATTTGAAAGCTAGACGGGAGGGCGTTTAGCCCAGCTAAATGTCTACCCCCCGCTCTCCTGTCTGAGCCCGCCTGATTTAACAGTGACCGCATTTGATGCTCCTTCTGTGAGGTTTTTTAGCAACAAACCAGCAGCTGGAGAGACCTGGCACCAGCGCAGGGAGCGGCACCCTCGTGCGCTGGCCGGGCCGGGGTGCGGAGCCTGCTGGGGCGGTCGGTCCTGGCACGGAGGCTTGATCCTAATTCTGCTCGGGTTCTTCGGGATTTGTGATTTTTCCAAACAGCGAACGATAAAGCTCCGTCCTGGGGAAAAGAGGAAAGAGGAGGGGGAAAAGTTACTTTTCAAGGTCAAAATGGAAGCAAGAGGCTGCCAGCAAAACCATCCACTCCTTAAAATGAAAAGGCCTTGTATAATTAAAAATGCATTCAACAATCTTTATTAATAAATCCAAGCAAAGGGGAGAACTTGCATAAGACCAATCACACGCAGTACAGAAATATGTAAATATTTCAGTGTGGCTGGATACCCTATCTCTAGAGAATGAGGTTTGCTATAAGTTTGCCCTTTACAGGCAGGCTCTTCAAGTAAGAAAACAAGATTGAATATTTTAATAGGATGTATGAGACCGCAGAGCCATAAGGAGGATTCAATCAGACAGCCTACGTGGGACTGTAATTTAGTTTTCATACATTTTCTTGGACTTGACGGTACTTGAGAAACAATGAAAATGACCCAGCAACAAGATTCCAATTAATATCACATATGCAGCAATTCTGATAACAGGAGCAAGTTTCCCTTTTTAAAAAAAAAAATAAGTGGGCTGGTGTTATTTATCTTTAATTTTAAAACCAAAGTAACCTGAGAAGAGAGAGAGGGGAAAGGAGAGAGCGTTTTTATAAATCACGTGTTTCTGGAAATCAAGGATAAGGCATCGGGAGAGCCTTATTTTCTACATAGGCACTTTCTAAGGCAACAGCCTGCTGGAAGAAGACGGCACAGGCAGAGCGGAGCGCTGGTTACACGGAGGACGGGATTTTTCCTTCAGAGCATGCTAACAACCGCCGGGGCGCCGGAGCAACGACCAAACGATCCCATCGCCGTGGGCCGGCGTCTCCCTGGTTCATCAGGGCCAGCGCCAGGGAAAGCAGCTGCTGCAGAAGCCGGGCCAGGAAAACTGGTGAGACAGGCAGAGAAAAGAGACTTCTCCACTGCTCAAGAACGACTGAAACATGGCATCAAATGATGAAATTCAGACCTGACAGCAATACCGTGATTTTGGCTGCCTCCTCAATTAAGACCACAACAGGGACCACTCTCGCTAGGGGCTGCTTCGATGCCGTGCTCCTTCGCAGATCAATAAAAGATGGCAACTGTTTGAACGCTGTCTGCTTCTTGCAGACACTTCCACTGGAGAAAGTCACCTGTCAGCCTCCTGAAAGAAGGAACTTCTAAGTGTTTAACAGCGACGGCAGAAAAACGCCAGCCCTTATTCCGAGGAAGACGAGGAACAGCAATGCAGGAGGCTGGACAGACGTGCATGGACCACTGAGACAAGAAACCATTCTAATTCACAGGGCCACATCTCTTAAATTAATTTTAATTTAGAGGCTAATTAACCAATCAGCTGCTCTACCCTCAGCAAACGAGTCTGTGGTGGGGGACGCCTCTCCTTACCTAACAAAATGGTCGACGCCGTGTTTTGTGTGCCAAGCTCAGCCGAGACTACGAAACCACAGCTGCCATTTCTGTGTTAAATCAGGAGCGTGCACGCAAGTTTTGGTAAGTTTAACACAAACACAAAATCACAACACTTTCAGAAAACAGAACTGATACTTGAAAAGCTGAAAACTTTGGCACTTGAAAGAAAAAAAGGAGGAGGGAGAGGAATGCCTTACCAAGCCTACAGCATTTTCCATCTTTCCTGACTATTAACAGATAAAAGTAACTCGCTTTTGCTGTTTCAGCTGAGAAATCAGACGGCAAGCGGCACCACTGCCCACAAGGGCATCGCGACTTTAAGGCTCTGTCAAGTGATCGGAAGGAAAATGCAGAGCGATGCTATTTAGTCCTCCGACAACGGCGGCCCTGCAGCCTTGCTTCGCCGGCTGGGCTCAGACCCCGTCACCACACTGAGCAAATGTTTCCACTCGTGCTGCGGCCTCGGTGCAATTCCCGGGCAGCGCGCAGCGGTTCCTGTCGGCAGCGGGGTTCACGTGGCGGGAGCAGAGAGGGAAATGCTGAAACCGGTGTTTTGATAGAAGATCATTTCACACTCAGGTGGGCAAAGCTGACAAACACTCGCAGCTTGCTCCTGTCAGAGGAGGCTGAGCGGCTTGGGTGCTTTCAACGAAACATCACCGATGTCCTTCTTTCTCCCTGGTATATGCCTCGTTTTAAATATGGTGACTTAATTGCACTGAGGAAAACAATCTAAGGAAGAGAAACGACAATACCAAACGCACCCGCTTTGCTGGTTTCCAGTCCGCAGGCGCAGTAGCGGGAGCCACGCCAGGCCTCGGGCAGCTGACGGCGACGGACTCCAGCCCGTTCACTCTTGTGCCCGAGGAAAGCATCGCTGCAAAGAAGAACCCTGCCAGCAGCCAGCAGGGTCTCGCGGCTCCTCTCCTAGGGATTGTTTCCATTTTCTCTTCCACCGCAGGATGCTGCTGGTGCCCCAGCTCAGGGCTCGAAGCCTCTGTCTGCGCAGCTCCTGCCGTTTGTTCGTTTTAATGGACGTGCTGGGCACCAGCACTAACCAGCCCAGTTCGATTCTCAGCTATTAAATAACACCCAGCTCTCGCACACGGACTCACTCCCATCCCTTCATGCTTTGCTAAGGAACAACGTGGCCTCCACACGTTTCCTGCGCTCTGCACGCTCTCCCACAGATTTTTGCACAGCCGACCTAAACACCATTTCAGATCTTTGTCCGTGGCTCTGCGGACACGGCTGTTGCTTGGGAGGATCCACTGCTCCCACTGCAGATGGCTCCGCTGCCCTCCACCGACAGAAACTGCCCAGCGTGGGGATATTCTTTGTCCTGGTTATAAACCCACGCTCTCCGCTGGCCGCGGAGTCACTCGGGCAATGCAAAAGACTGGGATGAAGAAATCCTCTTTTGGAGCCTGTGTAAGCGCTGCCAGGGGCACGAGTCCCCTCCCAGGCAGACCCTGGTCAGGCTGACCGCTGCACACACTCACAGTAAACCGCACGCAGGTCCTCTCCTGCTCCTCTTCCACACCCTGGTGCCAGTGAGCAACAGAAACTACTTTTATTTTTGCCCACAAGCCTCACTCACACGTAAGAGGCTTCAAACCTTCCGGCTCCGCCGCCTGCTTGCCAAACAGGCCTCGAAGGCATTTTGCAAAATTGAAAGGGGACTTGCTCCCAACCACCACCTCCACTGCGCAAAGGGGCTCCCGTCTGCACTTTCTCTACGTACGCCCTTCTCTTCTTATACATTCATCCTTTTTTTTTTTACAGTCCCCCGTAATGTAAGGAAGTTCAACTATAATGTGCACGTTCTGGGAGAACCCAGAGAAACAAGCCAAGGACAGCAAGAGTTTGTGTCTTCTCCCGGCGAGCAGGCAAAAGCCAAAAGCAATGTTTCTTTGCAGCCTGCCGTGGCCTTTCCCACTGGTGGAGAACCAGTGTCCTCAGGTTTTTGTCTTCATTTTTGTTTTTTGATAGTCTTCTGATGGGTACGAGAGTTCAGGGATCAATGCTGAATTTGCTCCAATCCTACAGATTTTAAACAAACAGTCATTTTTCAAGCGAGCAGGGCCCAGGGAGACTTCAAGCAGGAATTTGTCTTCCCCAGCAGGGAAATGCTGCCAGCACTGACGGACTCCAACATTTGCACCCGAGGTTTCACGGGTGGAAAGAAGGGTTGCACCCGCAGCCGCAGGCGAGCCGGCCCTGCGGCGCCGAGCCCCGCCCCCCCGCCGCTAACGCAGCATGGGCAGACACCCTGGCAGAGCGTGACGGGAGAAGGAGGGAAATCAGGTAACCCCACCATCCTCAAAACAGAACAAATATTTCACCCTGCGAAAAAAAAAAAACCAACAACCCAGCCTTTTTTTCCTCTTCACATCATCTAGGCTACCTTTCTTCTACAGCATCTCCCCTCAGCAGGATTTAACTATGCAGAGAGTAAAACTCATCAATCCTCCAGGTTTAACCTTGTCTCTGTTTCAATTCACCAGGGTAAGTGTGGATTTTAATACTTTCAGCCCCCTTAAGGCTACGCATAATGAACTTGGATTTTGGTTAAAAAATATAAAATTTCTCTCCTCCACCCACATATATTAAACATCAGACTTGAGCCACTGAGTTGAAACAACCCACCCCGCTGCAAGTCCGCCACCTCCAGCTGAAGGAAAGGTGACTTTAGCACAAAGAGGTACTGGTCTTAGCAATGTGCTGAGGAATAACCTATGTGAGTAATTAACAGTACTTACACCTCAGGTAGAGAGTGTGGAAGAAGCAGGTCGATACAGGGGTCTTCCTTGAATTAAAATTTAACTTACCCTTTATTGCAACCTACAAAAGCAAGTAATGAGCACTAACATTTTTATTTCTTTTAAACTGTCATTTAGGCTGTAGAGGGGATAATTACCTATTTCCACTGTAGTAAGGTTTTATCACCCTTAGTGAGGCATTTTCTAATTTAATATTTTTACTGTATTATCATAAAACCTGTTTCTGGAAAAAATGATCACGAACCACACAGCCATTTGCCATAAAACATGTGTGTGTAAGTACCTTGGCTTAATTATTTATGCATTTCTTCGGCGCTGACTCCCGAGGCAGAGGACGGCACAGGTGCTCGGTGCAGAGGGAGCGCGGTGCCCAGGCGCCCACCCCTGCCCAGCCCCAGGGCCCACTCCCCAGCCGCTCACAGGCACCTAGAAAGTTTGCGCAGCCCTTTCTTTCAACGCACCAGCAGTCTGAGACAAAAGGTATATGCGAGGGAGACGTTTTATTCTGCTCACCGTGCCCCTGCGGGGTTGGAAGAATCCTGGTTTCGCTGCAATTTGCAACTCGGTTGTGGCTCCGCTGGTTTTGTGGGAAGAGCAAGGAAGGGATGCCCCTGCACCGCTCACCGCCCCAGCCACGTTGCGGACCCCGGGGAGGGCATTCCCCGCGCAAGCCCCAAGCCAGCAGCTTGACTGTCTTCCCATTCGCAGCTTAACACTTGCGCAGCCCTTGGCACGGTCGCAGCCAGGCTCCCGGCTGCAGGGAGCCCCCGCCGCGACGCTGCGACGCGCGCTTTGCAGACAAAGGATCCGGCTGCGCACCG